ACTTCATTCTGCTCTGGCCCTCTATGTGGTTCTACGGCAGCAGTCTCGGATGACATTCATTATGTCATCCGATGCTTCGCCATCTCCCTCCTTGCGCGTCTCGGTATTAAATCTGTATAACCGGGTCTGGGAGTCATCGTCAGTCCCTGAGGACTGGCTCGATGCCGTTGTACTCCCTATTCGGAAACCAGGGTCTCTCGGGACATCCCCTAAAGACTTCCGCCCTATTGTTCTCACGAGTTGTGTCTGCAAGCTCTTTGAATGTATGGTCAATGTTCGTCTGATGTGGTTCTTGGAACACTATCATCATCTCTTCCCTTCTCAATTTGGTTTTTGCAAGTGCTGCAGCACAACTGATGTCTTGGTGAACTTGGAGGTCTAAATTTGTACTGCTTTTGCTGCAAAGACCTCCGTTGTTGCTGTTCTTTTTGACCAGGAAAAAGCTTATGACACCACCTGGAGACACCACCTGGAGACACCACCTGGAGACACCACCTGGAGACACCATATTCTGTCCCAACTTCGTTCTTTTGTCTTTCGTGGTAATCTCCCTCTCTTCCTCTCTCGTCGTTCCTTTAGAGTGAGGTTTGGTACCGCTCTCTCTGCCTCTTTTCGGCAATACAAATGTGTACCCCTAAGGAAGTGTTCTGAGCACTACTCTTTTCCTGGTTGCCCTCAATGGTCTTCTTTCCTCCCTTCCTTTTGGTATCTTCTCCACTCACTATGTCGACAATCTTACCCTTTGTTGGTGAGGTGATGATTCGGATCGCCTTCAACGGTGGCTTCAACTTGCAATTGATGTCGTGTTGTCTTGGGCCACCAATCATGGCTTCAAGTTCTCTGCTACTAAGACTTGTGCTGTGACTTTTACTCGGAAACAGGTCGTTCTTCGTCCCTCTTTGTCGCTTTATGGCCATCCCCTTGAGTACAAAGATTCCGCTAAGCTTTTGGGGTTAATTTTTTGACACTCGTTTGTCTTGGTCACCCCCGAGTTGAATGCCCTAAGGCCCTTAACCTACTTAAGGTTTCGTCGCATACTTCTTGGGGAGCGGATAGGCGCACGCTCCTCTCTTCACATTCCTCGCTCATACTGTCTAAACTTGATTATGGTCGGACCGCCATGATCGCTACTGTCTTCACTATTTTGCGCGGTCCTTAATTGCAACATCCTTCCTCTCGCCTCGGTCGTATTTTAACTATTGCTCCTCCTGCGGTTCCTGTTCCTCTTCACCACCTCCCTCTTCCTGACCGGTTGTCTCGCTTACAGGATTTTCTTTCAGTTCGTATTTCTAATATTTCTCCTCGTGTTATTCCTTCTTTGCCCCCGTGGAGAGCCCCCCTTCCGAAGTTTTGTACATCCTTAACCTGCATCACTAAAGCTTTTACTCCTCCTACGGTTCTAAAACGCCTTTTCCTTGAGCACTTTTCTTCTCACTCCCGCTCCGTTTCCGTCTTCACCGATGGGTCTAAGTCTGCAGACGGTGTAGGCTACTCTGTTGTTTTTCCTGATCACACTTGTATGTGTCGCTTACCTCCGAAGACTAGCATCTTCACAGCAGAACTTTATGCTATTCTCTATGCTCTTCGTCTCCTGCTTTCTCGTTGTCAATCTTCCTTTGTAGTTGTTGTTGACTCTCGTAGTGCCCTCATGGCTCTCGGGTCCTTTAATCCGGTTCATCCAGTGGTTGTCAAGATCCAGCACTGGCGGTTTCTTGTTCACGGTAAATTTAAGTCGGTTGAGTTTTGTTGGATTCCCAGCCATATTGGTGTGTCTTTAAATGAGCGTGCGGTTGCTGCCGCCAGGGAAGCTGTCTGCTCTTGTCCCATCTCTCATAAAGGTATTCTTTATTCCGACTTTTACCCGGTTATCCATTCCTCCATCCTTACCCATTAGCAGACTTTTTTGTTGGTCTTCAGTTAATGGTAACAAACTGCGTACTCTTAAGAGTTGTGTATCCTCATGGCCGTCCTAATACCACCGTAACCGGCGATGGGAAACGGCTCTGGTGAGGTTGCTCATTGGCCATACTCACTTAACTCATGGTCACTTGATGGAGTGCCGCCCTGCTCCTTATTGTCCAAACTGCAGTGTCCCTCTTACAGTCGTGCATATCCTTGTTGAATGTCCTGACTTCCGGGACGAGCGATCGAGTGTCTTGTTTTCCGACCGTGCCCCGCTGTCGCTTGTCCCTCGATAGTGTTTTTGGGGACTCAGATACTTTTGATATACAAATACAAATATTTATTCAGGTAATCAATATTCAGGTATTCAGGAATATTTATTCAGGTAATCAATATTCAGGTATTCAGGAATATTTATTCAGGTAATATCGTTCGCCTTATGCGTTTCTGTTCTCGTATTGGCATCCTTGGTGATATTTAGCGCCCTCTGATTATCCCACACATTTGATGGTGCTACATAGCCTTCCCGGTTTGGTGCCTTCTTTTGATAATTACTTACTTACCCAAAATCATCTACATCCTCTAATTACCCAACACAAAGCTGATATTAGAACAATATCAAACTCTGGCCCCCAGACAGCACTCGACACCCGTACTTCAATCTTTGAATGTAGTGGGATATCCCAGTGTGATGTGGAACATCCCAACGTGTAGTGGGACACCCCAGTGCGTATTTGAACATCCCTGTGTATAGTAGGACATCCCAGCATGTAGTGGAACATCCCAGCATGCAGTGAGACATCCCAGCGTGTAGTGAGACATCCTAACATGTAGTGGGACATCCCAACATGTAGTGGGACACCCCAGCGTGTATTTGGAAATCTCAGTGTGTAGTGATCGAGACATCCCAGCATGTTGTGAGACATCCCAACATGTAGATATGAGACATCCCAGTGTGACGTGGGACATGCCAGCATGTAGTAGGACATCCCAGCATGTTGTGGGACATCCCAGCATGTAGTGAGACATCCCAACGTGTAGACGTGAGACATCGCAGCATGTAGCGGAACATCCCAGCATGTAGTGGGACATCCCAGCGTGTAGTGGGACATCCCAGCATGTAGTGGGACATCCCAGCATGTAGTGGGACAACCCAGCGTGTAGTGGGACATCCCAGCGTATAGTGGGACATCCCAGCATGTAGTGGGACATCCCAGCATGTAGCGGGACATCCCAGCGTGTAGTGGGACATCCCAGCATGTAGTGGGACATCCCAGCGTGTAGTGGGACATCCCAGCATGTAGTGGGACATCCCAGCATGTAGCGGGACATCCCAGCGTGTAGTGGGACATCCCAGCATGTAGTGGGACATCCCAGCGTGTAGTGGGACATCCCAGCGTGTAGTGGGACATCCCAGCATGTAGCGGGACATCCCAGCGTGTAGTGGGACATCCCAGCGTGTAGCAGGACATCCCAGCGTGTAGCAGACATCCCAGCGTGTAGTGGGACATCCCAGCGTGTAGCAGGACATCCCAGCATGTAGCAGGACATCCCAGCGTGTAGCAGACATCCCAGCGTGTAGCAAGACATCCCAGCATGTAGTGGGACATCCCAGCATGTAGTGGGACATCCCAGCGTGTAGCAGGACATCCCAGCGTGTAGCAGGACATCCCAGCGTGTAGCAGATATCCCAGCGTGTAGCAGACATCCCAGCGTGTAGTGGGACATCCCAGCATGTAGCAGGACATCCCAGCGTGTAGCAGACATCCCAGCGTGTAGTGGGACATCCCAGCATGTAGTGGGACATCCCAGCGTGTAGCAGGACATCCCAGCGTGTAGCAGACATCCCAGCATGTAGCAGACATCCCAGCGTGTAGCAGGACATCCCAGCGTGTAGCGGGACATCCCAGCGTGTAGCAGACATCCCAGCGTGTAGCAGGACATCCCAGCGTGTAGCAGGACATCCCAGCGTGTAGCAGGACATCCCAGCGTGTAGCAGACATCCCAGCGTGTAGTGGGACATCCCAGCGTGTAGCAGGACATCCCAGCGTGTAGCAGACATCCCAGCGTGTAGCAGACATCCCAGCGTGTAGCGGGACATCCCAGCGTGTAGCAGACATCCCAGCGTGTAGTGGGACATCCCAGCGTGTAGCAGACATCCCAGCGTGTAGCAGACATCCCAGCGTGTAGTGGGACATCCCAGCATGTAGTGTAGCAGACATCCCAGCATGTAGCAGACATCCCAGCGTGTAGCAGACATCCCAGAATGTAGCAGACATCCCAGCGTGTAGCAGACATCCCAGCGTGTAGCAGACATCCCAGCGTGTAGCAGGACATCCCAGCGTGTAGCAGACATCCCAGCGTGTAGCAGACATCCCAGCGTGTAGCGGGACATCCCAGCGTGTAGCGGGACATCCCAGCATGTAGGAGACATCCCAGCGTGTAGCAGACATCCCAGCGTGTAGCGGGACATCCCAGCGTGTAGCGGGACATCCCAGCGTGTAGCAGGACATCCCAACGTGTAGCGGGACATCCCAGCGTGTAGCAAGACATCCCAGCGTGTAGCGGGACATCCCAGCGTGTAGCGGGACATCCCAGCGTGTAGCAGACATCCTAGCATGTAGCAGACATCCCAGCGTGTAGCAGGACATCCCAACGTGTAGCGGGACATCCCAGCGTGTAGCGGGACATCCCAGCATGTAGCGGGACATCCCAGCATGTAGCAGACATCCTAGCATGTAGCAGACATCCCAGCGTGTAGCGGGACATCCCAGCGTGTAGCGGGACATCCCAGCGTGTAGCGGGACATCCCAACGTGTAGCGGGACATCCCAGCGTGTAGCGGGACATCCCAGCGTGTAGCAGACATCCCAGCGTGTAGCAGACATCCCAGCGTGTAGCGGGATATCCCAGCGTATAGCAGACATCCCAGCGTGTAGCGGGACATCCCAGCGTGTAGCAGACATCCCAGCATGTAGCAGACATCCCAGCGTGTAGTGTAGGACATCCCAGCGTGTAGCAGACATCCCAGCGTGTAGCGGACATCCCAGCGTGTAGCAGACATCCCAGCGTGTAGCAGACATCCCAGCGTGTAGTGGGACATCCCAGCGTGTAGCAGACATCCCAGCGTGTAGCAGACATCCCAGCGTGTAGCAGACATCCCAGCATGTAGCAGACATCCCAGCGTGTAGCGGGACATCCCAGCGTGTAGCGGGACATCCCAGCGTGTAGCAGACATCCCAGCGTGTAGCAGACATCCCAGCGTGTAGCAGACATCCCAGCGTGTAGCAGGACATCCCAGCGTGTAGCGGGACATCCCAGCGTGGGAGCCTGGGACCTGGTAACGAGGCGAGGGTCGTGCGGAGGGTCCGCTGGTCAGGTCGTGGTGCTCACCATACTACCAATGAGCGGCAGGGGCGATGAGTGGCCCCAGGGGCCCAGTGTTGAGGGCCATGAGGGCCCGGGCCCCGACAAGAGGGCCCAGGGCATCAACACCAGGTACAAGGGCACCAAGAGGGTATCGGTGTACAAGACGTCCCCCAGGAAGACCCATCTCACCCTCCCGGAGAAGCTGGAGATCCTGAAGGAGGTGGAGTACCAGGTGATGCCCTCCAAGGTCCAGGCCATGAGCACTCAGAGGGACACACTGATGGAGCTCTACCAGCAGGGGGGAGGCCCTATGGCCCTGGAGGCGGCCATATACCGCTGGTACAGGTTCAGGGTCGACCAGGGCCTGCCGGTCTCCGGGGCCCTCCTCCTGCAGAGGGCCAGGCAGTGCCACCGGGAGATGGAGCTGCCTTACCCCTGCGAGTACTCCAGGGGCTGGCTCCGGAGGTTCAGGGCTCGTCACGAGATATTCTACGGGGCGCTGGGGGAAAAATCTGCCGGTAAGTTGTTTTCTTGTTTTGACGCAGTTTGTGGTATTTATAATCTTATTGTAATGGGGGGACCTTTGACAAGCCGGCGGCTTCCTGTCCTCATTGAGGTTACTAGTGTTGGTGGTCCTCAGGCAAGTCACGTCGTACACGAGACGGCTGTGTACGATGTGACGGATTTATAAATCGTCGTAACCCGCATCAACCTAACCCAACACGGCAGAATTTTAAAATCCAGCTTGACAAAAATCATCAGGACACATGGGGGGGGGGGGTATCTTTGACAAGTTCTCGGCTTCCTGTCATCGTCGAGGCCACTAGAGATTGTACTCGCAACCTTCAGGTAAATCAGGTAAAAAGTCATCCTAATGGATCATAATTTAAGCTAGTACATCCTAGCCTAACAATGCAGTACTTTATATATATATATACTATTTGACAATATAAAAAAAAAGAGTTTTGTTGAACCATCTTGTGTATGATTTAACCATAGGCCTGGTCGAGGACCGAGCCGCGTGGACATTGAGCCCAAAAATCATCGCAAGGTAATCACACTGTAATAACTTACTAATCAGAGATAATGTAATGTAACTAGTGTAGCCGCTGAGATGTGGTCAAATCGTGCACCAGGATGCTTCGACACACCTCTATTATTTCTGATTGTTAAAACCGTGTATCGTTAGGTTAGGATGTACAGTATTACCTTAGGTTAGGCTTGGTTGAATTAAGTTAGGTAATGTTGAGTAAGATTAGGTAAGGCCTGACAGCTGAGTGGACAGCGCTAGGGATTCGTAGTCCTAAGGTTCCTGGTTCGATCCCTGGTGGAGGCGGAAACAAATGGGCAGAGTTTGTTTCACCCTGATGCCCCAGTTTGGTTCATCTAACAGTAAATAGGTACCTAGGAGCTCCGGGCTGTTTCCTGGGGGTGTGTAACAAAAAGAATGCCTGGTCGAGGACCGGGCCACAGGAATGTTAAGCCCCGAAATCATCTCAAGATAACCTCAAGATAAGGCATCAGAAGTGACGTATCTGTGTAGCCTGATACAATAGTGTGGAAAACATGTGTATTGGGATGACCAAACAGGATACAAATAAATAATAAACAACTACCTGTATTGACCATGTATGGTACAAAAATGACAAAATGTTATGCAATGTTATCTTAATCTAAAAAATATGTTTTATGTATATAAATAATTCATTGTGGTGGGGGGACAGGCAGAGCCAGTTTATAAATACAGTACATATTAGGCTTATATCGAGGCCTCCCCCTCCCCCAGTCAAATTACTGACCCTCTCCAGGATGCTGCCCCACAGCAAGTTAACTCCTGGGTACCTATTTACTGCTAGATGATAAAGATGGCTAGAGCTGGACAGGGGCATTAAATGATTGAAAATGCGCCTAGCCATTTCTGTCCCTTTGGTTACCTTGAGGTGTTTTCTGGGCTTAGCGTCCCCGCGTCCCAGTCGTCAACCAAGCCTCCTCATTGTTGGACTGGTCAACCAGGCTGTAGGACGCTGCTGCTCGCAGCCTGACGTATTAATCACAGCCTGGTTGATCAGGTATCCTTTGGAGGTGCTTATCGAGTTCTCTCTTGAACACTGTGAGGGGTCGGCCAGTTATGCCCCTTATGTGTAGTGGAAGCATGTTGAACAGTCTTGGGCCTCTGATGTTGATAGAGTTCTCTCTCAGAGTACCTATTGCACCTCTGCTCTTCAACAGGGGTATTTTGCACATCAAGCCATGCCTTCTGGTCTCATTTGCCCGAAACGCTTTGCGTAATAGTGGCTTTAGGCATTGTATGTACTAGCTCTATCTATAAATTTTTGTAAAACCTCTTGTATGTATGTACTTTACCTGATTAAACATTTATTTATTTATTTATTTATATGATTGTTATTTCTGTTCGCAGGTTTGGGACCAGTCCCTCTACTATTTTCCACGTGTAAATTATTATGTATCTCTCCTGCCTGCGCTCGATAGAATACAGATTTAGGCTCTAGTCGGTCCCCATTTGATTAGATGTTTTATTGATTCTAGTAGTTTTAATTCTATTAAAAGTTCTTCTAAATTCTATCCAGTAATTTTAATTCACCCAGAATCATTTTCCTAGTAAAGCTATCCTCTGAAGTAAAGCTTTTGTTGCCAGCAAAGTATTCAAAGTATTTATTAGAACCCCTTCCACTACCCTTCTAGTTCTAATATTATTACTTTTATAGATTATTTCACACTTTGGGTATTAACCCTTGTGTGGCTCCAGGCTATTTAGCATTTGTCACCCACAGACGCATACCAAAAAAAATATATATATATTTTTTCTTCTAAACCTGTTAATTTGTGTTCTCTGATTATGGGGAAAAATAATAAAAAAATCGTAAGTGGTATATATTGCCCGCTGTAGGGTGGGGAAGTCTGGCAAAAAACAGGCGCTGACTCAGCATGTGTCCCAGGCGGTGTGTTGCTCGCCAGCTGTCAGGCAGGAGTGGCCACAAAGAGATAATTACCTAATTATTTCAATGTCTCTGATTGATTTTTCATATTTTTTTTTTATGCTGTAATATTATTCAATAGTGTGTAGTGTGATATATATATATATATATATATATATATATATATATATATATATATATATATATATATATATATATATATATATATATATATATATATATATATATATATATATATATGTCGTACTTAGTAGCCAGAACGCACTTCTCAGCCTACTATGTAAGGCCCGATTTGCCTAATAAGCCAAGTTTTCATGAATTAATGTTTTTTCGACTACCTAACCTACCTTTTTCGGCTACATAACCTAACCTATAAAGATAGGTTAGGTTAGGTTAGGTAGGGTTGGTTAGGTTCGGTCATATATCTACTTTAATTTTTACTCCAATAAAAAAAATTGACCTCATACATAATGAAATGGGTAGCTTTATCAGTTCATAAGAAAAAAATTAGAGAAAATATATTATATATATATATACATATATATATATATATATATATATATATATATATATATATATATATATATATATATATATATATATATATGTCGTACCTAGTAGCCAGAACGCACTTCTCAGCCTACTATGCAAGGCCCGATTTGCCTAATAAGCCAAGTTTTCCTGAATTAATATATTTTCTCTAATTTTTTTCTTATGAACTGATAAAGCTACCCATTTCATTATGTATGAGGTCAATTTTTTTTATTGGAGTAAAAATTAACGTAGATACAGTATATGACCGAACCTAACCAACCCTACCTAACCTAACCTAACCTAACCTATCTTTATAGGTTAGGTTAGGTTATGTAGCCAAAAAAGGTAGGTTAGGTTAGGTTAGGTAGGTTAGGTAGTCGAAAAAACATTAATTCATGAAAACTTGGCTTATTAGGCAAATCGGGCCTTGCATAGTAGGCTGAGAAGTGCGTTCTGGCTACTAAGTACGACATATATATATATATATATATATATATATATATATATATATATATATATATATATATATATATATATATATATATATATATATATATATATATATATATATAATAAAATGAGTGAATCATCGCTGTACTCAAAAAATATGGTGTGCATATCGTTGATTCAATTATTATGTTCATCAAGCAGTGAACAAATACTTTGTCTGTTATTACACTATATACACACAGTTTATATATAAGTATCTGCATGTTTTGTTCACCATAACGAACCATTAAGTTGCTATTATGAGTCAAAAAGCAACGAGGAGTGACCGCCACACACCAGCCAGCCACTCGCTGCCACTCACTCCCTCAACACCTCACTCGCCCACATTCTCCTCCCTCCATACTGTTTTTGCTTCTATTCACTATATACAGACGTTATATATAAGTATCTTCATTCGTGTTCACCATAATGAACCACTAAGTTGGCATGCTGAGTGGCAGTGGCAGCCCTCTACTGGCTGCCACTCCCTCCCTCCCTCACCTCACCTGACTCGCCACCATTCTTCTCCCACCATACTGTTTTTGCTTTTATATACAGACGTTATATATAAGTATCTGCATGTTTTGTTCACCATAGCGAACAACTAAGCTGATATAGTGAGTCCAGACAGTAAAAGGTGGTCACACACAGTCAGCAGACAATGTTACTCCTCCCAGTACAGCGCTAATTATCACAACAATCCTGCTATTATCAGAATCCTGGTCATTTTTATCACAGTCAGGGATCTTCTGTAATACAGTAATATCATCGCTAAATAATAGCATGAACATGTATATTATGGCATTTTTTGGCGATGCTGTGGTCACAAGCTGAACAGCAGTGCTGTGAGCTCATGCTGAGTGCGTCAGGCTTGGTAGCTCACTCAATACTGAGGCCCCTAACACCCGGGAATTTGGCCCACGATTTTTTTTTTTAATGGCATCTGTTTACAAGAGCCCTGATAAAGGTGTGGTGAACCCCGTGTATCCGCGGGCCGTTTAAATCTTGCATAGTACTCCAATACATCATATGATGTGGAGTGCAAGTTACTGCAAGTCACTGAACACATCATATGATGTGTAGCGCAGTTAAAGGATTAATGGCTTTATTTTATATGCAACCTCATTATCTACAAATAAGCCACCAGTATATATATATATATATATATATATATATATATATATATATATATATATATATATATATATATATATATATATATATATATAATATACAAGAAGGTACATTGGGATTGAGAGGATACATAGCATAGTAATTATATTTTTGTAAAGCCACTAGTACGTGCAGCGTTTAGGGTAGGTCCTTAATCTAAGAAAATTTTAAGTAGGTAAATACTAGCAAAATTTATAAAAATGATAACAGGTACATAGCAAGAAAAAAAAAGATGAGAGAAATTTGTAGGTATTGACCAGACCACACACTAGAAGGTGAAGGGACGACGACGTTTCGGTCCGTCCTGGACAATTCGCAAGTGAGAGAGTTGATGCAGGGCAATAAATAGGCAAGAGAGAGAGGTGAGGAGCAAGGTAAAAGGTACGAATGGTAAGGTGTAGTAGAGGGGATAGTAGTAGGAATAAGAACTGCAGAGGGCCCATTGGCCCATACGAGGCAGCTCCTATTATAACCACCAAATGAGGAGGGGATAGTAATAAGAATAAGAGGAGGATAGCAAGGGAATGTAAGATAAAATAATCAACAGAAAAAAGAGAGAAGAAGGAAAAGGAAAGAGAAAGAAAGATAAATGGAAGGGTAAGCTTATGTTAGGTCATGTTTGTTAGAAAGATTAGAGCATTTGAGTATACAGTATACTGTGAGAGGGAAGAGTCAACAGCAACAAAGCCAGGATTCAAGTTCATGTTGGGTACGTTCTGTATTAGAGCCGTATTAGAACATACCCAACATGAACCTGAGTCCTGGCTTTGTTGCTGTTGACTCTTCCCTTTCACAGTATATACTCAAATGCTCTAATCTTTCTAACAAATGTGACCTAACATAAACTTACCCTTCCATTTATCTTTCTTTCTCTTATCTTTTCTTTCTCGCTTCTCTCATTTTTCTGTTCATTGTTTTCTCTTACGTTCCCTTGCTATCCTCCTCTTATTCTTATTACTAACCCCTTCTCATTCGGTGGTTATAATAGGAGCTGCCTCGTAAGGGCCAATGGGCCCTCTGCAGTTCTTATTCCTACTACTATCCCCTCTACTACACCTTTCCGTTCGCATCTTTTGCCTTGCTCCTCACCTCTCTCTTGCCTATTTGTTGCCCTGCATCAGCTCTCTCATCACAATCGACATGAGAATGGTCCAGGACGAACCGAAACGTCGTCGTCCCTTCACCTTCTAGTGTGTGGTCTGGTCAATATACTTCAGCCACGTTATTGTGACTCATCGCCTGCAAATTTGTAGGTATATTAAAGCACATAGGTAATGAATAAATTTTTTATTATTATTATTATTATTATTATTGCCACTGTGTGTTAGTGGCATTAGCCATTGTACTTGTCTATCCTAGGAATCCTCCATGGTTCTTGTATCTTATGTAATTAAATGTATATATGTAATAAATATATGTATGTAATAATATATTATGTATGTATGTACTTTGCTTAAATTTATTATTAGTATTGTTAGTTTTATTTTATTTATTAAATTTAGCTGTATATACAGTATTTGGTATTTGTAGTCTAGTTGCATGCATGAGACTGGATTGATAATAATTTTATTAAATACAGTAATTGCAAGGTATTTGTTCTTTTTATGTTAATATATTTTTATAGGTGTGGAATACTCTAACTGGGACAAAAAGAAGTCTGTAACAATGGCTGACTATGAATCACCAAATAGAAGTTGCATGCTCTTGAAGCGGAAGATGAACGAGCCCGAGAATTTCCAGAAAAGAATGAAAGTCTGTCAGTCTGTGGTAAGTGGTCTTTGAGTATTGAGTTGCCAACTGTTAGCAGCCAGGGAATTGGTGCTAAAAATAGAGAAAACTTTTTCCTTTATACCATTATGGTCCAAAATTTCATTGGTATATTTAGCTAAGAAAATGTTAGTTTACCCAACCTTTCTGGGGGGAGCCCCGTCGGCTCCCCGGAGCTATCCCAGGCTGATATGCTAATGTCAGACTTTGGCATCAGTCATGTGTAACCCCTATTCTGGTTAAAATTGCTACCTAAAACCGAACTAGTGGATAGAACTCCCCAACCGAAAACAAGCAAACTAGTGTGACGTCACACACTGCCGCGCCGCTGTCTGCGCAGCTCCCCCCTCCCCGGGAGGGGGAAGGGGGAGCCCCAGACCCCCCGCGCCGGCTACCCACACCTTAGTTCTTGAGGCTGATGCTATAGGCGATGGTCGTGTGCTCTGGCTCCGGTGTCGCTACTGCACTGTGCTTTGCGTGTGGTGTTAGTTTTGTGGGTGCGAGAGCCAGGAGTTATCTTCAGTACTCGGGCTGCATGCGCCTAGGGCTGCCTTCCCTAGGTGCCCTGTAAGTACTGCCCTTGGGGCTTGGGGCCACCTTCCACAGGCTCCTCGGGGTCTGCCTCTGCTGGTCCGTTTTACTTTTCGGTTTTTCGGCCGCCTGTTGGGCTCTTGGGTGTTCTGTTCTCCCTTGTTACCGGCAGGTAAGAGGCAGTTTGCACTGGTAGGGGCGCAGGGTGCTGCTCAGCTTGTATTTCCCGACATCGCGGCCGGCTCTGTTCCTTGGGGTTCGCTGTCCTCCTGCGGGGTTTTGTTTTTCTTTTTGTTTTTGCCTGGTGGGGGGTTCTGTCATTTTATTCAGTTTGTTTTTGCCCTTCCACTGTTCTCATCGGTGGCGCCCCCTGCTAGGTCCCCGTGAGTGTACACGTCCCTGGGGACGTGTACACTCACAAGCTTTAGAAGTTTGCTTGGTAGTTTTGGGCGCCGGTTTGCAGCACCCTGCCTGGGACTACCTGAGCGCGAGTCCTCTTAAAGTAAACGCTCAGGACCCTGGGAATCCCCTAGGGGGCGCGTGGGTCCGATGGATGTGACCCCGGAGTCCCCACTCGCTGTGTGCGAGTTTGAGGGTTGCTCGGTCCCCTTGTCTCAGGGTGACCCTCATTGTTTTTGCCTCTGCCACGCTGCCTGTTGGGTCGGTGATACTTTCGACCCTGAGTCCTGTGAGTGTTGCTGCTTGCTTGTGACTCAATTTACCCAATCCTCTGATTCTATTCGGGTACAGGCGGCACGTGCGTTGCAGTCTAGGTTTCGTCTGTTGCAACGCGCTCGGTTGGTTGCTTCCCCGGATGCCCCGGGGCTGCCCCGCTTTGCTTTTCGAGACCCGGACTTGGGGGTGGGGGTCGCTTCGATCCTGGTTCAGTCCGCACCTCCTCGTCCTTCCCCTTCTGTTCGTTCTGGTCCCCCGCCCCTGCTTCCGGCCCCGAAGCGTCTGAGGGTTTCGGGGTCGGAGCTCGGGTTACTTGATCTCGAGACTCGGGCAGCTTCGGGGGTTGCCCCTTCCGGGGAGGCGGCAGAGGCATTCGAGTCTTGTCTCCCGGCCGAAGCTTCAGGGTCTGACCAGTGGGCCCCTCTTCCTCCAGCTTTTCCGGCTGCTCCGTCCTTGTCTTGTGGGGTCGGGGCTTGGGGAGAGGACTCGGCCTCGGGTCCTGTGGTGATGGACCTCGAGGCTGGGGAGGGGCTGACTTGGGGGCCTTGGGCCCCGCTGGACCCCGCCGGGGTTTTTCTTCCCACTGAGCGGGGCTTATTGTTACAAGGAGTGGGGTTTTCTTTCCCCCCCTCTGCGTACGAGTTGGATTTGGTGTAGGCCCCTCCCCGGGTATGGTTCCGTGTTCCCCTGGGTACGTCGGTTCCGTCCTTCCGGAGGTTTTCGGCTTATCGCATCCAACCTGGTGTGGTGCGAGCGGCCTTTGCAGCTTACCTCCTGCGTGACCCGGATTATGCCTCGGAAATGGATCCGTCCACGTCAAGGTTGGGACTTCGTTCCCTTTCTGGCTCCGTTACGAGGTTCCGGAGTCGTCCTGGCTAGCAGACTGCCCCTTGTTTGGTCTGGATTCCTGGCATTCCTTCTGTCGTTCCCGCACGCTGGAGTGGCGGGAAGCTTCCACGGTGCTTCAGGTTTTCCTGGGGGTGAACTTGAGTACCTGAATGAGTGCTTGTTTGCCCCTGCCCTTCCCCGCGATGTGGGCGTTATTCAGCTCCATGTGCAGGTTCCCTCCCTTTCGGCGGCGCTCGTGGCGGAGGACTTGCGCGCTCGGGGCCTTTTGTGTTCGGCCTTGCGGTTCTTTTCCCTCCTGGAGCTGTCTTCGGATTGGCTCGTGGAGGATGTGGGGACGCTTGGGTCCGTCCCGGGGTCCGGCACCTTGTCCTCGGCTGCGCGTGCGTCGGCTGCCTCGTTGAAGCTGTTCACGCCGATTTTGCGGGATGCGGTTTCCCTGTTCTATGCTTCCCGTCTCGCGTGTCGGCAGGCGGTGCTGGGTTCCTCCATGGGATCTGCTTGGGCTCTGGCTCTTAGGCGTTCTTCACCTTTTTGTCCTCTCCTGTTTGGGGAGTCGGCCGTGGCGCAGTTTATTCAGGCTGCGTCGGCGGCTTGTCGTCCGATGTCAGACTTGTTGGTTTTCCGGGGGTCCCGGGGTGGGTCTTCCCGGAAAGGTCGTGCCAGGGCTCGGGGTTCCTCTCGTCGTGGTCGGCCTCTGGTGTCAGGTTTGGGGTTGGCTCCTCCTGCGGACCCTCCCTCGTCTGGTCGGCGCGGTGTTCGCGCTGTGCGGGGTTCTGGGTCTCGTAGGGGTCGCCGGCCCTTTCGCGGTTTGCCCCTTTGACGGGGCGATGGGGGGGCGGCTTGCGCTGTTCGCCCGCGCCTGGTCCCACGATTCGTGGGCCTTTCGGGTCGTGTCTCGCGGCCTGCGGTGGCGTTGGGTGGCCCCTCCCCTCTTTGGGGGGTCGGGGCTGGCGGGGCAGGCTTCTTCCCCTGCGCTCTGTCGAGTCGTCTTGGAGTGGGTACGCTTGGGCGTCGTCGAAACGACGTCGTCCCTCAGATGGGTTTCCCGTCTGTTTCCGGTTCCGAAACGGGACTGCGCGGACCTGCGGTTCATTCTGGATTTGTCCCGTCTGAACCCTGGGTTCATTGCCCCTCCTTTCGGATGACTACGCTGTCTCAGGTTCGGCTCCTCTTGGAGCCGGGAGCTTGGATGGTGTCCCTGGACCTCCGGGACGCTTATTGGCATGTCCCGATTCATCCGCGGTTCAGGGACTGGCTCGGTTTTGTAGTGGGGCGTCTGAGTTACCGCTTTCGTTGTCTCCCGTTCGGGTTGAACCTGACACCTCGCGTGTTCACACGCCTTACACGGGTTGTGGTGGCTCGTTTGCGTCTCCTAGGTGTTCGAGTGTTGGCCTACCTCGACGACTGGCTGGTTTGGGCTCCCAGCCAGTCAGCTTGCTTGCTAGCCAGGGATTTGGTTCTTTCCCAGCTCGCCGGGTTCGGGTTCTTGGTGAACTGGAGGAAGTCCCATCTGGTTCCCTCTCAGGTTCGGACATGGCTGGGTCTCGTGTGGGATTCTCGAACCGCCTCCTTGTCTCTCCCTCCGGAGTCTCTCCTGTGGCTGCGGTCCCGCCTTCGTCTGTTTCTGGAGGGCCCTCGGGTCACCCGGCGGTTGCTCGAGGGGCTGTGCGGGAGCCTGAACTTCGCGATGGTGGTCTACCCGCCGGGTCGGGTTTGGCTTCGACGGCTGTTCTGGTTCCTTCGGGGTTCCCCCTTCCGCCTCTCTCGCGATCGCAGAGTTCGACCCCCGGGGGACTTGCGTCGGTTGCTGCGTCACCGGTTTCCTCTTCGGGTTTTTCGGGGTTCAGTGCCTTGGCGCCTACCCGAGCCCTCGCTCGATGTGTACACGGATGCGTCGTCTCGGCTGGGGTTTTGTGACCAGTGCTCACCAGGCCGGCCAGGGGCGTTGGGATTCGTCCTTCCGTCGAGCTCACAGTACGGTGCGGGAGTTCGCAACAGTGTGGTTTGCTCTGGGGAGGATTCGGGTGGCCCGCGGATCGACGATTCGGCTCCATTCGGACTGCTCTCCGGTGGTTCATTGCCTGAACCGCGGGGGTTCGATGCGGTCCTTGTCTCTTTGGGGTTGGTCGCTTCGGGTGACTCGTCTGCTGAGTTCTCGGGGTTTGGCTCTCCTGGCGGTTCACGTACGGGGCGTGTCCAACGTCTTGGCCGACGCCCTGTCTCGCTTCGTTCCTCTCTCCACGGAGTGGACGGTCGACGACGAGTCCTTCCTTTGGCTTTGCCAGACGTTCGGGCGCCCCGAGGTGGACCTTTTCGCGTCGGCGTGGTCGCGGCGTCTTCCCGTTTATGCGGCGCCCTTCCCCGATTGCGAGGCCGTCGGGGTCGATGCCTTTCGGCTCGACTGGACGAGGTGGGGGTTCCTGTATCTCTTTCCCCCGGTTCGGCTGTTGCTCCAGGTCCTGACTCGCTTAGAGACTTACCGGGGAGAGTTGTCCTTCTGGCCCCTTGGTGGCCGGCCCAGCCTTGGTTTCAGGCGCTGGTTGCTCGGTGTCCGAACCCGAGGGTTTTTTCCCGCGGCTCCGCCTCTTTCAGCAGATCGGGCCGGTACGTCACGTAGCTGGTTCGATCTTCTCCTCGAGTCTTCGCGTATGGTTTTTTTGACTCGAGTCTATCATCATCTCTATGGTGATCAGGTGGCCTCCTTGTTGGTGTCCCACCTGAGGGCTTCTTCTCGGCGGCAGTATGCTGTTTTCCTGGCGGTCCTTCCGTTTCTTTTTGCGTCTTCGTCGTGTTAGCTCCTTGTCTGTTCGGGTGGTCTTGTCCTTCCTCTCGTGGTTGTTTCAGGACCGTCATCTTATGCCTAACACTGTCGCTTCGTATCGTGCGGCGCTGGCGGAGCCGCTTCAGCTTGCTTTCGGTATCGATGTTACGTCTGCGCCGTTTCG